GGGCTTTACAATGTTCAGAGTTCAGATATTGTTCCGTTCTCTCCTCACGGTGATGACAGAAGCGAGACCTGAACACACTGGTCCATGAAAGCCTCCGACCAAACACCCTCCATTCACTCACGGCACTCACTACATTCAGACCTACTGTATTGTACGTGTTTTTAGTGGTGGGGGAAACCAGAGCACCCTGAGGAAACCTGCGCAGACAGGGGGAGAACATGCAAACTCCACCAAGAAAGGCCCTGTTTGGAGCGGGATTCAAACCCAGGACCTTCAGGCTGAGAAGCGAGAGTGAAAAAAATGACATGGGCCAATATATATGACAATTTGAGTCCAAGGTAGTTATGCCTAATACGTCTGATTTATTCATGGAGGAACGTCTGTGTCTGTCTCAGGTCCTGTGGCGGTGATCAGCGGTGAGGAAGACTCTGCCAGTCCTCTTCATCACGTGAACCATGGGATTATCACACCGTGTACGCTGGACGCAGGCCCTGACGCGGTGGTTATCGGGATGACCAGGATCCCGGTGGTAGAAAACCCGCAGTACTTCAGACACGGACACAACTGCAACAAGCCAACGACCAGTAAGTCTGTTTTTCATTTCAGTTTTGTCACATATTTCCGTCTGTGAAAGCTGGTTCGACCACAGTTTATCCTTAGACAATGAATGGAAACCACAGACTCTGCTTTAAATATAAAAGAAGGTTTAATGTAGAAGCAGAATACAGATAAGTTACAGGCTAAGCTCATATGGTGCTGCTAAAAAGATGGACTAGCACAGTGACAATGAACCAAGCAACTCTGCTTTCCTTAAGTATCAGAAACGCCCCTTGGGTTGGTCGAGTCACAGGTTGTCATAAATACACATGTCATTCAATAATCTTGTAGACCAGTCCTGGTTAAACTACTGATCGCTGAGTCTGAGCCTGAGGGTCTCTCTACAGGCTCTTATTGTCCTTCCAGACGTCCACAGCCCCATGGACCCCAGAGAAGGGTTGAGTCAGCTGTCTCTGCTATTGTCCAAATGTCTCATGACACAGACGCTGCTGAGATGCAGATGGAGGTCCTATTGTCTCCAACGTCACATTGGCCTCATGACTTAAATAAGTGATTTCCTGCCATTGAGTGCTCACTTTGTCCCAAACATACTCTATATGAAGATACATACATTTATTAATGTGCTAATGAAACATTTCTTAACAACGTCTGAAAACATATGTTCTTCAAGTTAATGTTGAAGTTCAAAAGTAAAAACAACAGAGCTTCATGTGAAATGAGCAAGTTGGAAAATCAGTCTGAAAAGTCTTGGTCTGTGACGGCTGTTTCTATAAAGAGTTTGTAGTTGGGGTTTGGGGCGACAGTGGCTCAGTTGGTAGAGTATTGGCCTTTGAGTCTGAAGGTCGTGGGTTGAAGTCCACCACAAGATGTCTGCTGTCATTGTGTCCTTAGGCAAGACACTTCCCCCACATTAGAATGAGTCTGGTGTGTGTGTGAATGGTTGGTGGTGGTGGGAGGGGCTGATGGCACAGACTGGTTGCCTTGTTTCTGTCAGTGTGCCCCAGGGCAGTTGTGGCTACAGTAGTAGTTTATCACCACCGTGTTTGGAGTGACAGAATAATGATGTAAAGAGACTGAGTGTCCAAAAAAGCGATGTTTAAAACTAATGCATTATTATTATTATTATAATTTGAGCTGCAGAGTCCAGTGCATGTCAGTGTCTTGTTCTTCTCTTCAGGAATATTTAGCTCCACCATGTTTTTTTAATGTTTTCAAAGGCTTAGAATTTGACTTACAACTGTACTTGAGGCTGGAGGACTCTTCATGTCTGTTAATGCTGTTTTACAATTACATACAGAAAAATACATAGTCCAGGCATTCTTTATGTCTTTGTTGTCTTTTCCAAGTGATTTTCGAAACAGAGACAGAGCTGAGAGTGCTCAGTCTTTGCTTCCAAAACCAGATCTGACCCAGGAAGACTGCAAACTCCTTTTTGGTAGACTACATGTTCAGCCCACATACATATATACAGTTTCAGAATGAGACCTTTGGTATTTAGCAAATGAATAGTGCAGGACAGGAAGGAGCCTCTGAGAATCAAAGAAACCATGGCCCACATCTGCATGCATCCCTCTCCCGTCAGACCGGAGCCAACAGTGAATTACAATACAGCTATTTCAGTATACAATATACTTTAGGCACATATTACTTATTAAAATAGATAGATAGATAGATTGATACTTTATTGATCCCCCGAAGGAGAAATTCAGGTGTCCAGTAGTAGCAAAAATAAAAACTAAAATTGATCATTCTAAAAATGAAAAAAAGATAACAATAGTAATAATCAGCCACAGGCCTTCAGGTCACAGCTGCAGAGGTGGAGGAGCCTCTGGGTGGAGCAGGACAGGTCACAGCAGCAGAGGTGGAGTAGCCTCTGGGTGGAGCAGGACAGGTCAAAAGATGGAGTACCCACTTGGTTTGAACCATTTTCTCTGCTCTGGTCCAAAGTAAAATGCTAAATGCTTCATTAGCATTTTTCAAAAAGTTTGCATTCCTCCAGTGGATTTTCACCTGATCCACTTGATTGGGACCATGAATCCTCTCTGCTCTGGTCTGGACCAGTGTAAAACCATGAACACTGTACTGAAACAACATCTCAGGCAGAAAAATCAATAAAAATAAAAATTGTAAAGCACGAAACAACAACTGTTATTCAGAGCTATAAGGACTTGCAGCCGTTACCAGGCGCATCTTTCACACACAAAAAAAAACGTAAACAAAATTACAATGTCAATGCACCATCTTGAAATACAGCGGTTGATAAGGGACAAAAAGGAGTTTGACCTGGAGTTGGGGACCACAGTTAAAGTCGAGCTATTGTCCTGCAAAGCTCCCGTAGAACCGTAAATTACAAAACATGATCTCAACGCTAGACTGGAGTAAAAACTACAGTGTACCTTTAACGTCATCAGAATGGCAGGCGGTCTGAGGAGTGAAGTTTCTAAATCTGTTAAGGAGAAATCCTGATGAAGCAGCAGTGATCCTTATGTTTTATGAATGGCATGAATTGTTTATGTCGGGCCTTTGACTGATTTGTAACTGTAGTGAAGGCATGACCGAGAGATCTGATGGTGACCTGCTGAATAAATGACATCTGCATTTTCTAATCAAAGGCCTGATGAGTGCGCCCGACTGGAATGTGTTCATCCTAACAATACCCGGCCGTATCTTACCTTTTATTAATTAAATTCTTGGAGCGTTCTTGGAAAACATGGAGGAGGAATTAAATCAGAATTCATCACAAGGTCGTGCAATGGTCACGGTTTTCCGCCATTGGCTGCAAAAACAAAATGGCCGAGGTCGCAGTGGAGCTGATCATCCGCTGAATATAAATGCGGCTGGTGCCCCCCGGACACACTCGGAAGCAGAGGAAATGACTTTGTGCTCGCAGATGGACCACCCGTGTGCACAGGAAGGGCATGTACACATCAGACAGATTCTATATGTCAACTGTTCTGGGCAAATGTTCATATCTGAGCACTTTACAGCAGTGGACACGGGTAACACACAACAACAGGAGAGATTTAGTATTGTATGTTTGTTAGCAAGAATGATGTATTGTATAGACCTGAGTTTATGTGTCGTAATCTAGAGCAGGACTCTTCATCCCATTGTTCTGACAGGATTACTATCGTATTTCAGATTTTCACATATTGTTTCCATTATTTGAAAAAAATATATATATATAAAAAAAACATATACAGTATATAAAATCCAAGTATTCGAGCTATGTAGGAATAAAAACCAGAACACACACCCTTAAGGATGGATGTGTCCATAATAGGGTTGTACCGAATTCGGCCGAATATTGGCTTTTTTTGTCTCGAAAACCAGATTCGTGCGGAAGTTCAGTTTGTGGATGTCAAAAAGTGTAAATAAACATTTAAACAGTTTGTTTTGTTATAAACAGATTATATTATTGATTTGTGCTCATATGTGTCAAGGTTTAGCACGAGACATGGCGGAAAAAGAGCTCAGAGAAAAAAAATACTTTTTTGGAAATGTGGGAAACACATAGTCAGTTTACCATTTTATTCTTATTAATCCGAATAATTATTTCAGAAATACAACACAGGGATACACATAACAGGTGTGTGATGATTAAACATGTAAAGGAGTGAATATTATCCATCATTAAACTGTCTCTGTGTTCGCCTCATTTCCTCGTGCCTTTGAACGCATCCTGGGCGCTAGCTGTGCGGCTACTAAAAGTATTTTTTCTCGAACACAGTAGCTCAGAGTGTGTGAGTGAGAAAGTGAAAATGGAACTCGTGAGCAGAAAAAGTGTCGTTTGGCAGAACTTTCAGTCCAAAGAAGGTGATGCTAGTCCAGCTACACAAACGCTGATGTGTCTCGTGGTGGTGAGGACCTAAACCAGGCATGTCAAAGTCAAATACATCAGAGGGCCAAAAAAACAAATTTGCTGCGAGCCGAGGGCCGGACGGGTTCAATGTTTATTAACTCATTGCCTGCCAGCCTATTTCAGAACAGGTACTCCCATATTGCCAGCAGTTTCTGATGATTTTTATAGATTTTTCAAGACCCACAGAATATTGTGTACCATGACTATCTGAAATCCGAAACCAGATTCTGAAAGAATAGACTGTCTACTTTCATCAGCAAAAAAAATCTTGTTTCTAGCTTGTAATCCCCAGTTGAGTAGAGGGAAGTTTTACTGAAATCACCAAAAGCTGAGAAAAAAGAGGCACAACAAGTGCATCTAGCTGTTTTCAAACCATTCAGGACAATGGTTTCATTCGCGGGTCCGGATTTGGCCCGCGGGCCTTGACTTTGACACATGTGACCTAAACAGTTCACAACGTCGCCGTTGTTAAAACATTTGTGTATGAAACATTAATGGACTGAGGATGGAGTAGGATTCGGTTTCAGATTCTGCAGAATCTTAACCAGTGGATTCGGTATTTGGCCGATTCGGTACATCCCTAGTCCAGAATATCAGTGTTGTGACGAGGGGTCACCGTGTACAGAGGGGTCACCGTGTACAGAGGGGTCACTGTGTACAGAGGGGTCACTGTGTACAGAGGGGTCACCGTGTACAGAGGGGTCACTGTGTACAGAGGGGTCACTGTGTTCAGAGGGATCACTGTGTACAGAGGGGTCACCATGTACAGAGGGGTCACCGTGTACAGAGGGGTCACCGTGTACAGAGGGGTCACCATGTACAGAGGGGTCACCGTGTACAGAGGGGTCACCGTGTACAGAGGGGTCACCGTGTACAGAGGGGTCACCGTGTACAGAGGGGTCACTGTGTACAGAGGGGTCACTGTGTACAGAGGGGTCACCGTGTACAGAGGGGTCACTGTGTACAGAGGGGTCACCGTGTACAGAGGGGTCACCGTGTACAGAGGGGTCACCGTGTACAGAGGGATCACCGTGTACAGAGGGGTCACCGTGTACAGAGGGGTCAGATGTGGAGCCCGTGTCCGACCACAGAGTTACAGACGTTTGTCACTAACCACAGAAAACACATGTTTCTACCATCTGTATGTTTGTTTGAAAGGTAGAATGTGTGATGTCTAATCCTGCGGCAGACCACACAGGCAAAACAAGGCAAAGCAAGGTTATTGGTTTAGCACAATTTATACACAACTCAAAATACTGAAATAAGATAGAAACAATCACAGGCATTAAAATAATCACAGTACAATAAAAATAGTAAAGATACGATCCTTCAGTCATAGCACAGATAAACAGAAGAGTTTTGAACCTTTAAACCGACAGTTCATGAACACTGACCTCTCCTGGTCCCAGAGATAAGGATTGTTCAAGAGGCTTTATGTTCCTTTTATTGTAAAGAAAGGTTTGGGTCACGGCTTTTTGTTCTGACGAGTGTCGCACCTTCTTCACTGGAAGCTTCGTTGATGGTCACGATCTGTCAATGTCTTCATTTAAGCTTCTTCTCCTGGACCTGAGGACACGCAACACACACAACACCTTCACACACAACACACACAACACCTTCACACACAACACACACAACACCTTCACACACAACACCTTCACACACAACACACACAACACACAACACACACAACACCTTCCTCTCCTACAGAGACCTCCTACCTCAGAGCAGGGCTGTCAGCAGGCAGCACAGGTACAGGCTGCTGTGTTTCAACAGTGCAGAGTAATGGAGCACAGGTACAGGCTGCTGTGTTTCAACAGTGCAGAGTAATGGAGCACAGGTACAGGCTGCTGTGTTTCAACAGTGCAGAGTAATGGAGCACAGGTACAGGCTGCTGTGTTTCAACAGTGCAGAGTAATGGAGCACAGGTACGGGCTGCTTTGTTTCAACAGTGCAGAGTAATGGAGCACAGGTACGGGCTGCTTTGTTTCAACAGTGCAGAGTAATGGAGCACAGGTACAGGCTGCTGTGTTTCAACAGTGCAGAGTAATGGAGCCCAGGTACAGGCTGCTGTGTTTCAACAGTGCAGAGTAATGGAGCACAGGTACAGGCTGCTTTGTTTCAACAGTGCAGAGTAATGGAGCACAGGTACGGGCTGCTTTGTTTCAACAGTGCAGAGTAATGGAGCACAGGTACGGGCTGCTTTGTTTCAACAGTGCAGAGTAATGGAGCACAGGTACGGGCTGCTTTGTTTCAACAGTGCAGAGTAATGGAGCACAGGTACAGGCTGCTGTGTTTCAACAGTGCAGAGTAATGGAGCACAGGTACAGGCTGCTTTGTTTCAACAGTGCAGAGTAATGGAGCACAGGTACGGGCTGCTTTGTTTCAACAGTGCAGAGTAATGGAGCACAGGTACAGGGTGCTGTGTTTCAACAGTGCAGAGTAATGGAGCACAGGTACGGGCTGCTTTGTTTCAACAGTGCAGAGTAATGGAGCACAGGTACGGGCTGCTTTGTTTCAACAGTGCAGAGTAATGGAGCACAGGTACGGGCTGCTTTGTTTCAACAGTGCAGAGTAATGGAGCACAGGTACAGGCTGCTTTGTTTCAACAGTGCAGAGTAATGGAGCACAGGTACGGGCTGCTTTGTTTCAACAGTGCAGAGTAATGGAGCACAGGTACAGGCTGCTGTGTTTCAACAGTGCAGAGTAATGGAGCACAGGTACAGGCTGCTTTGTTTCAACAGTGCAGAGTAATGGAGCACAGGTACGGGCTGCTTTGTTTCAACAGTGCAGAGTAATGGAGCACAGGTACAGGGTGCTGTGTTTCAACAGTGCAGAGTAATGGAGCACAGGTACGGGCTGCTTTGTTTCAACAGTGCAGAGTAATGGAGCACAGGTACGGGCTGCTTTGTTTCAACAGTGCAGAGTAATGGAGCACAGGTACGGGCTGCTTTGTTTCAACAGTGCAGAGTAATGGAGCACAGGTACAGGCTGCTTTGTTTCAACAGTGCAGAGTAATGGAGCACAGGTACGGGCTGCTTTGTTTCAACAGTGCAGAGTAATGGAGCACAGGTACAGGGTGCTGTGTTTCAACAGTGCAGAGTAATGGAGCACAGGTACGGGCTGCTTTGTTTCAACAGTGCAGAGTAATGGAGCACAGGTACGGGCTGCTTTGTTTCAACAGTGCAGAGTAATGGAGCACAGGTACGGGCTGCTTTGTTTCAACAGTGCAGAGTAATGGAGCACAGGTACAGGCTGCTGTGTTTCAACAGTGCAGAGTAATGGAGCACAGGTACAGGATATTACATAAAGAATATTTCAAATTGCACTATTGTCACAGTTAGTGAGGTATGGAAGTGTATGTGTCTTTTCTTATTATCAGTACCAGAAATCCATTGCAGCACACTATAACATTATGCAAATTGGTGTAAAAATATTCCAAGCCGTGTTCCCTCTAAGCTGCGGCAGATATTGGGGGCACAGAAATCTGCACTGGGCACAAAATAAAAATCCAACTGAGAAATGACATGATGCGATTCACAGATGTATTTGTGCAGCTAATCAATGCACAGCTAATCAATGTGCTTATCGATCTAATCGACCGCGTCCTGTGCCGCCAGCCGAACGGCGCCGTATGGGCCGCGGTGGAGCTGTGTCTGACTGCCCCATTCAGAAAGAGTCAAAGTCAAAAGCTCACTCTGCGTTTACCATAATATAATCATACCATAAACCTTTATTGTTTCAGAAGCACGGATCTATAATAATATATGGATAGAGTATTATTAGCTTATAGCTGTCCCACCCATGGCCACAGGGGGCGCCCACGGTACTGCAGACAAATTCACATGGGCTACCCAGAAAAATGTCCATAGAACTCAATGTAAACTAAGCCAGGCCTCAGCTGACAGAGAACCTGACAGAGAACCTACAGAGAACCTGACAGAGAACCTGACAGAGAACCTCCAGCTTTCATAAAGGAGGATTCTGTGGGATTTTAGTGTGTTTTTCTTCTTAAATTCATCAGGTTTTTTTTTATTTATTTTGTATCTACACTTCACGAGTAATCAACAAAGGCAAATCTATACTTTCCATTTGATCACAGTTATAACTTGTCTCTTGTGGTTTCTCTTTTCATTATAAGCCATAACAGACCAAGAAGAGCCCATTTGAGACATAACCATTAGCTCTGTTGTCATTCTGAAGCCAATTGCAGTGAAATTGGTTGGTGTAAACTTGCCCTGCACTTTAGTGGAGGTAAACAGGCCAACCGTGGTCTATTAGGGCCAATAGCCAGGTTCATTTTTACCTTTTGTGTTCAACGCTTCCTCGAATAAAGGCCTTTCGTAAGGAAATATATCCGTATTAGTGAGATAAAGGCGCAAAAGGACGAAGGACAATCCTTTAGCCTAATGACAGATGTGTATCTCTGTGGATCCGCTGTCTCCCAGCAAGTGCCTTTGTTTTATCATTCGCACTATTTTAATTACAGATTTGCTATACCCCGCTGGCCAAAACGAGACAATGGCTTTTGATGTGGATGTATAAAAGCTTGTCTTTCATTATGCCCATGTTATTAGTAACATCACATGTGTTCATGGCAGAGGAGGAGTAATTGTGTTCAAGGTGTTTCATTTGAAGATCACAGCATTTCCAGTCTGACTAATTTGGCAGCCTGGGAACTCACTAATAAATGAGAAAGGCACAGCAGATTGATTGAAATGCTGTTATCATTAATTCGCCGGCTATGATTCCATGAATTACAGTTCGATGCAGAACAGCCTCCCAGGCAAGCTCATGGTCTTTAAAGCAGCCTACTTTAATTAGTAAGCCACGAGCGACGGATAGTGCTCATGCAGCGGAATCCAAAACTGACTCTCCACAATAGAGTCGAGGTTCCACTCCCAGTAAAGTGAAATTAAAGGCATAAATACAGATTTCTGCTTGATTTATTCTGTTTTATTTTTTTTTGAAATTTTTTATTTACAGATAGTGAACTACAAGTATACAACACATGTACAATAGAAAAGGTTTCATATACATTCCACCATCTGTTGTTTTTTTTCTTTTTTTTTTCTTAAACAAACATACAAGAACAAATAACGGGAGAGAGCCTTTGTTTACCCATGCTATTAGTTTAACAGGGTGGGTTAACAAGTTAACCCGTACGAGACGCTTATAAAACAAAACAACAACAAACAAAAATGTATGTATATAGAATTCAGTTGGGTTGTACTTCTACAAAGTCCGGTTGAAGAGGTTTGATAAATTTGACCCAGCTTGACCATAATTTGATAAAAGCAGGTTTTTTCAGCCTGATAGAGTAAGTTATTGCCTCCATTGCATATATGTCATTCACTATTTGTATCCATTCTGCTTTGGTGGGGGGATCCGGAAGCAGCCATCGTCTTGTAATAGATTTTTTAACAGCTGAAATTAGAATAGCCATAAGATATTTGTTTTTAAATTTAATATTATAAACTTGGCCAAGGAACAGAGTTGTGAAATTATATGGTATAATCATTTGAAATATTTTTGATACAGTTGTGTGGAACTCTGCCCAAAGTGGTGTAATCTCTGGGCAGGCCCAGAATATATGCCAATGATCAGCTTTAGAAGCCCCACACTTTCTCCAACAGGCTGCGTTTCCTTCACCAAAGTGAACCTTCTGCTTTGGAGTAATAAAGAAGCGAATCAAACACTTCCAGCTGAACTCTCGCCATGAATGTGAATTTGTACTTTTCCATTGAGATTCACAAATGTCCGGCCAGTCATCAGGAGATATCACAATGTTTCCTTCTTTCTCCCATTTCTCTTTAATATATATTGTGGAGTGAGATTTTTTCATCAGGAAACTTTTATAAAAGCTGCTAATGGCTCCTTTAAGATTTGTATTTTTGTATGCTTTTAGAAAAATTATCAATATAGGGTCTTTAACATCTGTTTTAGCCCTAATGTTATGTTCAAATGGTTCCGTAGCTGCAAGTATCTAAAAAAGTCAGAATTGTCAAGGTGAAATTCATTCTTCAGTTTATCGAAATTTTTGAATTTTCCATCTTCTGTGAGGGTATAGAAAGTAGTGATTCCTTTTGAAATCCAAAGTTTAAAGGTGTTATCTAATGAGTTAGGCTTGAATTTAGGGTCGAACGCACACCATTGTATTATTTGTATTTTGTCAACTAAATCATATTCTTTTTTCACTTTATTCCAGATTTTTAATTGTGTTCTAATCCATGGATTTGAGATGTTTTTAATATATCCATCCAGGCATGAGTTTGCCAAAATTGCCTGTACTGGAGGTTTTGTAATTGAGAGTTCTATGTCTTTCCATCGGGCATGAAATTTTGAGGAACACATATTCAAAAGTGTTTTTATTTGAGCAGCATAAAAGTATCCTTTAAAGTACGGCAGGGCCATGCCTCCTTCTCTCTTTGGTAATTGTAGAGTTTTATATTTAATCCTAGGCCTTTTTCCCTGCCAGATAAATCTAGAAATAATTTTGTCTAATTCAGAAAATTCTTTTTCAGTAATTTCCACTGGAAGTGATTGAAACAGGAAAAGATATCGTGGGAGTATGTTCATCTTTACACTTTCAATTCTGTGACTTAGGCTAAGAAAAGATACCGTGTTCCATCTCCTGATGTCCTCTTTAATTTTTGTTAATAAAGGGTCATAGTTTATTTTTGCTATTAAAGCAGTTTCTTTACAAAAATTAATTCCCAAGTATTTTAACGATTGTTGATCCCAGCTGAGGTTATATTTATCTGTAAGTTGTTGTGAGGGTATGAAATTAAAAGTTAAAAGTTGGGTCTTTTGTATATTTAGTTTGTAGCCTGAGTATTTACCATATGTTTGTAATAATGTCATCACCTGTGGGAATGTATTATTTGGGTCTGATAAATAGATCAATACATCATCAGCATAAAGGGCGACCTTATGTTCTTCTTGATTTATAGAGATGCCTTTGATGCTTTCAGTTTGTCTCAACCATTGTGCAAGAGGCTCTATGTATAGAGCAAACAGGATCGGCGACGACCCGCAGCCTTGCCTCGAACCACGCTGTAGTGTGAAAGATCTAGTGAGATGACCGTTAATTTTTATTTTGGCAGAAGGTTCACTGTACAATGTATGGATAACGTTCACAAAGTTAGAATGTATACCAAATTGTTCCAGCACTTTATACAAAAAAGCCCAGCTGACAGAATCAAACGCTTTTTCCGCGTCGAGGCTCACTAGGAGAGCCTCAAGGCTATTCTGTTGAATATGGTTTAAAACATGTAATGAGCGTCTGATGTTGTCATGAGTTTGTCTCTGCGGAACAAATCCAGTCTGATCTGTGTGTATCAACTGAGGGAGGAGCTTCTCTAATCTCTTGGCCAAAATATTTGTGAATAATTTATAATCAACGTTTAGGACCGAAATTGGCCTAAATGAGCCACATTCCAGCGGGTCCTTGCCTTCCTTTGGGATAACAGAGATAACCGCTTCTTTCCATGAAGGTGGCATTTTGGATTCTTTAAAGACTGTGTTATTTGCTTTGAGAAGACATGGCGTAAGTTCTTTTCTAAATGCTTTGTACCAGTCTGGGGGATAGCCATCTGGCCCTGCCGATTTGCCTGTCTTCAACCTAGAGATGGCGCTGTTTAGTTCCTTTTCAGTTACCTCTGCTATCAAACTTCTATTTTGTTCCTCAGAAAGAGAAGGAAGGTTAAGAGAGCGCAAAAAGTTTTCCATTTCTTGTTCACCTTCTACAGGTGGCTGAGAGTACAAATTTCTGTAATATTTTTCAAATGCCTCTTGTATTTGTTCTTGTTTAGACAAAATGTCACCAGAGATTGGGTCTTTGATCTTATATATTGTGCTCTCTGCTCTCTCTTTTTGTAGCCTTCTGGCCAAAATCTTAGCTGCTTTTGGACCGGCTTCATAATATTTTTGTTTCGCAAAGACAAACTTTTTTTCAACCTCATTAGAGTACAGTATATTAATTTCATTTCGTAATTTCTTTATTTCTTCTAAGAGTCTTGGGCATTGGTTAATTTTATGTTGTCTTTCCAAATCTCTCAGTCTTCTATTACAGTCAATGTATTTGAGCTGTTTTACCTTCCTATTGTGTGAGCACCAAGAAATAATTTTACCTCGAAGGACTGCTTTTAGAGTGTCCCACACTATGGTTGGATCAACCTCTCCTGTGTCGTTTAATTCCAAAAATGAATTTATTTCCTTTCTCACCTCGCTCACAAACTGTGGGTTGTTTAAGATGCTTGTATTAAATCTCCACAGTGTTCTCCTTTTGGTTTCCTCAATATTCAAAAGACAAGAAATTGGAGCGTGGTCAGAAAGGTCAATAGAGCCAATGTCGCAACTGTTTACTCTGTTGCGGTCCCTTTTAAAAACAAAAAAATAATCTAGTCTTGAATATGTATCATGAGGATGTGAATAGAAGGTGTAATCACGTCCTGAGGGGTAAAAGTCTCTCCAAAGGTCTAGTATTCCCAGTTCATTTATTAGATTACTTACTTTTTTGTGCAATGTTGTAGTTGGCACCTGTTTAGATGCGTCTAGATTTGGGTCCAGACGGAGGTTTAGGTCAGATCCACAAATTACAATCCCTGGTGCTCCAACCATCAAATCAAACACCTTTCTATAAAAAGCAAAGTTACTTCCAGGTGGAGCGTACACATTACAGAGTGTGATTAATACATTATTGATTTTTCCGGTTACTAAAATGTACCTCCCCTCGGTGTCTGATTTCTCAGATACATATTCAAAAGGTATTCCATGTGATATTAATATTATGACCCCTCTTCTTCGTCCATTACCGTATGATGAGTAAAAGGCTCGTGTGTATCCCATTCTCTTCATCTTCTCATGTTCCAACTTAGAGAGGTGAGTCTCCTGTAGTAAAACTATTTGGGCTTTTTCTCGTTTGACCTTAGAAAATATTTTACTTCTTTTGGCTGGGCTTGAAATACCCTTTACATTAAAAGAGATTATTTTAACGTCCTGTGTATTCATGTGTTTCAAATATGGTATTGACCATTATTTCTCCCCAATTAAACCTATAATTGTGACAATAATTTGCATGCACAACAAAGCCCTCTCCCAAAGAGCAAGTAAACGTGAACCATGTAAAACAGAACAGAACAACACGCCAGAGTTTAACAGATACTTCCAAGGCAGAGGCTCGTGTAAAGGGAGCCCTACATGATGTCGGGGGATGATGTAAGTCCCAGGAGGGGGAAATCCCACTTCCTCGCAGGAGTGGGGCCCTGAAATATGTCCGCATACTAGCTGAATTCTACACTAAGGAAGGCATTTCAAACAGCTTCGAACCCCGACTTTTTCAAAATAAAGTGCGTTAATAAAAATACAAAAGAAAAATAAACTTGTATTGTTCATGACGTTACCTTTTATAACCACGTTATCCTTTACCAGTGGTAATGTGAGAGATAATTTTCACCCAGATGATGATCTTCTATGGTGCTCTTACAGTCAGTTCTCTCAGTGTCGGTGTTTCTTCGGAAGCTTTGGAGATGTTTCATGAGGCGTGCGCGCGGATCCTCCAGCTGCTGTGCGTCATCTCTCACCGCATCCTGTTGTCCTCCGCTCCCCGCGCGCCTTCCTCTCACTGCTCTCCAGTTGGACAAAAGCTGGATTTCTTGTTGGTCAGGGGTGACCGTGGGTTTGACCAAGCCAACTGCAAACCCCCGCGAAGCCAGATCTCTTGTCGCCTCAGTCGCATTTTGGTAGAGACGGGTCCCATCATTAAAGAAAACACGCATCTTGGCTGGATATGGGGTCTGAAACTTGATACGATTCTCCTTGAGCACTTTTTTAGCCTCCCCATACTCGTTACGCCTCTTGATCACTTCTGTGGGAAAATCGTGATCCACAAAGAAGCGTTCATTGTCACAAAACACTTCCTTCTTCTGCCATGCTCTCCGTAAGATCTCTTCTTTGGTGCGGTAGCTGGCAAATTTCACCACAATGGACCTGGGTTTAGCTTGGCTGTTGTTGTTAGGTTTAGCCACCAAGGCACGATGCGCTCTTTCAATTCCAAGGACTTCGTCTCGGGGAAAGTCAAGTGCCTTTTTCAACAAGTTTTCCATAAAAGTCGCCATATCTGTTCCTTCTTTACCTTCCTTTATTGAATAGAAGCGGAGGTTGTCTCTTCTCCCTCTCCCTTCTTGGTCTAGCAACTTAGCCTCGAGGTTAGCTTGACGCTCCGTTAGCCTCATGATTAGCTTGGATGCTGCTTGTAGCACCGTCTCAGTTTCATCAATCCTCTCTTCTGCTTCGTCCATTCGTTCATTTACTCTTCTTAATTCACGTTTAATGTCCGAGTATTGTTCACTGCTGTCTTTTCTGAAATCCTGTAACTCTCTCAAAATATCCTGCAGAGAAGGTTCAACCGCAGCTCCGCCTTGTCGAGCTAGCTTTAGCTCCGAGGATTGATTTTGTTCTCCGCGGATTTTATTCACTTCGTCTTCAGTCGAGTTGGCACTTGTCATACTTCTTGTTAAGACTCCCGTGTCCATAATAATAAAAAAACACAGGGGTTTGTAGAAAGAGTGGCTGTGGGAGCTTTAGTTACAAAAACCGTCGGGAGCAAACTATTCAAGCTGTCATCCTCTCGCTAGCTGCACCGGAAGTCGATTTATTCTGTTTTAGGTCCAAAAGAAGTGAGCCCAAAAAGTGAATTATTATTATTATTGACTACAGTTTAATCTACGGCTCTTCACAGCAGCAGTAGAACGCTCCGTTGATATGAATATAATTTCAATTCATTCTACCAGTCATTTTTTTCTTGATAACAGACCTGAAAACAATAATGGCCGCTGCCCTTTGGCAACGCACTCTCTGTTTGTAATTCAGGCGTGTAGATTACTCTGCGAGTTGTTCCGGCCACTTCGTCAACAAGCGTTTAAGCAACACCGGTCACTACTTCTGTCTCTGCGAAAGAAGGCTCTGGCCTCGGGATGATATCTGATCAGTACAAACACCAAGACATAAGAAAATATTGGATTATTAATTTAATGTTCAGGTGGTTTTTTTGAAGGAAGTTTGTTTTTGTCATGTTTTCTCTTGTAATGACTGACAGGCGTACAAAAATATTGGATTATTAATTTAATCATTAAAAAACTTTAGGTCTTGGTTCAACAGGTTTTACGCATAATTTTTATATTTTCATAAACATTGAACCAGTCCGACCCTCGGCTTATAGCAAATGTGTTGTTTTGTCCTCTGATGTGTTTGACTTTGACGTCTCTGGTCTAGTCCAACCCACTGCTCAGAACAAAAATGTTAAAACTCAGCTAAAAACAAATCCGTGCCTCATATTGTAACCGTTCAACCGTGTAGTTTCCGTAATGAAGCTCTGTCTGAGTAGTTTAGTTTATTTTGGTACCACTTTAAAACACATCCAGTCCACAGGAGATATTATTCTTGTCTGTTTGTTTTGTTTAGTTTGAAATCTAAGCTTCAGACATTTCAATGGTTTTTTTTTTTTACTTTAACTGATAATAAATATCAATGCCAGATTTTTTTGTTTAGCATTTACAACAACACCATGGGATGTGTGCAATAATGGCATGTGTGCAATAAATGTATGTGTGCAATAATGGGATGTGTGCAATAAATGTATGTGTGCAATAATGGGATGTGTGCCATAATGGGATGTGTGCAATAAATGTATGTGTGCAATAATGGGATGTGTGCAATAATGAGATGTGTGCAATAATGGGATGTGTGCCATAATGGGATGTGTGCAATAACGGGATGTGTGTAATAATGGGATGTGTGCAATAACGGGATGTGTGCAATAATGGGATGTGTGTAATAAATGTATGTGTGCAATAATGGGATGTGTGCAATAATGGGATGTGTGCCATAATGGGATGTGTGTAATAATGGGATGTGTGTAATAATGGGATGTGTGCAATAATGGGATGTGTGCAATAATGGGATGTGTGCAATAATGGGATGTGTGCCATAATGGGATGTGTGCAATAACGGGATGTGTGTAATAATGGGATGTGTGCAATAACGGGATGTGTGCAATAATGGGATGTGTGTAATAAATGTATTTGTGCAATAATGGGATGTGTGCAATAATGGGATGTGTGCCATAATGGGATGTGTGTAATAATGGGATGTGTGTAATAATGGGATGTGTGCAATAATGGGATGTGTGCAATAATGGGATGTGTGCAATATTGGGATGTGTGCAATAATGGGATGTGTGCAATAATGGCAATAACGGGATGTGTGCAATAACGGGTGTGCCATAATGGTAGCAGCAGTACATGTTAGCAGCTGTATGTTAGCATCTGTACATTAGCAGCAGTATGTTTACATCTGTACATTAGCAGCAGTATGTTTACATCTGTACATTAGCAGTATGTTTACACCTGCACATGTTAGCAGCAGGTAAACTTTTAAACTATTATTGCACAGATGAGAAAGTAAAGTATCAGTTATCATCCTCCTTGCTTACTGATTATTGGAATCAAACCTTTTATTTCAGAAGTAGCCACAACCGCCTGAGTTTGTACCTGTGACCTTCATATTTCTGGGCACTCACTTAACTACTCAGGCACTGATGAGCTTCTTCTACACCACTGAATGTAAAGTCCCTTGTGATTTTTGTCAATAAGACCCTGTAGTTTCTGGATTGAATGTGCACTCACTGACAGAGCAGCATTAACATTTCATAAAGGAAGGCTCTGGGAAAAGCACATGCATTCAAAAACACATCTATGCAGGGCTTTTCTGTAAAAACAGAGAGAGAGGAGTTGGTGTGCACAGATGTGACCTACGTGTGCCGTCATATACTAGTCTAGAAATATCCCTTGAGCTCCATACGTGAAGTGCTTACTGCTTAAGTGTGCTTAATGTTCTAAGTTTAATCCTCTAGTCCGACTGGGTTTGTGCTTGGGGAGGCGTTCATGCATTTTGTGTCCTATAGAACATGGAGCATAGTGACCAAACCAAGGAGAGTCCGAGGGTTTGGCTCACAGCTGTTTGGAGATGTCAGCAGTCGCATTAAAGGTGTCGAGAGATCGCATGGAGGTGTTGAAGGTGAATGTGAATCGTTTGCCATGTGCAGCATTAGGTACTTTGATTTGGGCTTCAAGAAAGGGTAACATTATTATATTACGTAGAGGGGCGACAGTAGTTCAGTTGGTAGAGCATCGGCCTTTGGGTCTGGAGGTCATGGGTTTGGGTCCACCATAGGATCTACTCAAACTGCCCCCACAAGTGTCTACTGTCGTTGTGTCCTTCTGCAAGAGATGGAAATGGACTAATAAAGGGGGTGTAGCAGGACAGGTCACTGCAGCAGAGGTGAAGCAGGACGGGTCACTGCAGCAGAGGTGTAGCAGGACAGGTCACTGCAGCAGAGGTGTAGCAGGACGGGTCATTGCAGCAGAGGTGTACCAGGACGGATCACAGCAGCAGAGGTGAAGCAGGACAGGTCACTGCAGCAGAGGTGTAGCAGGACAGGTCACTGCAGCAGAGGTGTAGCAGGACGGGTCATTGCAGCAGAGGTGTAGCAGGACGGGTCACAGCAGCAGAGGTGTAGCAGGACGGGTCACTGCAGCAGAGGTGTAGCAGGACGGGTCACTGCAGCAGAGGTGTAGCAGGACAGGTCACTGCAGCAGAGGTGAAGCAGGACAGGTCACTGCAGCAGAGGTGTAGCAGGACAGGTCACTGCAGCAGAGGTGTAGCAGGACGGGTCATTGCAGCAGAGGTGTAGCAGGACGGGTCACAGCAGCAGAGGTGTAGCAGGACAGGTCACTGCAGCAGAGGTGTAGCAGGACGGGTCATTGCAGCAGAGGTGTAGCAGGACGGGTCACAGCAGCAGAGGTGTAGCAGGACGGGTCACTGCAGCAGAGGTGTAGCAGGACGGGTCACAGCAGCAGAGGTGTAGCAGGACGGGTCACAGCAGCAGAGGTGTAGCAGGACGGGTCACAGCAGCAGAGGTGAAGCAGGACGGATCCAGCAGCAGAGGTGAAGCAGGACGGGTCACAGCAGCAGAGGTGAAACAGGACGGGTCACAGCAGCAGAGGTGAAGCAGGACGGGTCACAGCAGCAGAGGTGTAGCAGGACGGGTCACAGCAGCAGAGGTGAAGCAGGACGGGTCACAGCAGCAGAGGTGAAGCAGGACGGGTCACTGCAGCAGAGGTGAAACAGGACGGGTCACAGCAGCAGAGGTGAAGCAGGACGGGTCACAGCAGCAGAGGTGAAGCAGGACGGGTCACAGCAGCAGAGGTGTAGCAGGACGGGTCACAGCAGCAGAGGTGTAGCAGGACGGGTCACTGCAGCAGAGGTGAAGCAGGACGGGTCACAGGCCTGGTTCGAACATTCTTAATCCGCAGAAAGCATGAAGGAAATTCCTCTCTGCTCTCTGTCCCATAAGCACTTTAAACTTTTACAGCTCTTACTTACACGCTGTTCATTATCAATGTCAGAAATCTCAGTATGTCTGTGGACTGTATACCACTGTCAGATTGTCCGAATGACCTGACCTTTTGTATGTGGCTTGGAATTGCCCAAGGATTCTTTACATCTGACTAATTTAAAGATTTCCAACCAAGACAACAACATTACACAGATATATACACCTACTCTTTGTACACCGCAGTACAACAATCAACACTGCCTGCGACGAACTTACTTACCTGCTTATTTACTTATCTATCTATCTATCTATATATATATATTATAATTTCTACATATACAGTATGTACTTTATGTATCTTCATATGAATACATTTGTGTTTGGGATATTTGGGCCCAATTGCCAAGACAAAACAATACCAGGCCTCATGGTGGGACCAGTGGGGGCAGGTCCCGAAACGTCCATGAGCACGTGCGCTGTCATACTGGCAATCTCACTCCTTACTGTAGGGGTGTACCCAGAAAGAGAATTATCCAATACTTTTGTATGGCGTCTTCTTTCCTCTCGAAAAAACGTCTTTACAGGATGGTCCAAAAGTGGCTCTTGGTCCAAGCTATGTTCCAGTCTTTTTTTTTTTGGAACAGTTTAGTTTAGCCGCTGTGGACTTCAGAATGCACTTGTTAAATGAATGGGGCTAGTGCAGCTAACACGTGCGCAAGTGGCTGCCATTTGGAAAAAATCCCATAGAAAAAAAAAATGATGGCACATCAGTTTCAACGGCGGAGTATGTCTGTTGATATTTAATCTATGAGTGGGACTTGTGACTTTACCTATCCACAACTATAAGACCCCTGTGCTTAATGCTCTGTTCTTGACCAGTCTGCAATTGTCATGTTAAAGCTAGGACCCAGGCTAGGTTAGCATAAATCTAAGCAGAGTCTGATCTTCCATTCATTATCCACTCTATGTGCGTGGGGGAAACTATTTACTTTTTTTTTACTATTTAAACCAAATAGATTACTTACCTAAGGGCGACAGTAGCTCAGTTGGTAGAGCATTGGCCTTTAGGTCTGAAGGTTGTGTGTTTGATCCCACCTCAGCACCTTCTCC